CTAAAGTGGAAATCAAAAGAATCACTAGATATTTACATACTTGTGTTTGATCACGACGAAGATGTTAACAAAATCTATGAAATTAAAGAGATACTGCGATTAAAGCGTTGCGAATTAACACAATGTGTTAATTATGGTGAAGCTCATCCTGCTAATTATAATGGATGTACTATCAAAAATGATTATGGAGAACATTAACTCAAAGGAGATATCAGGATTTGATCTGATAACTGGAGAAAATCACTGAAAACCATGGTGATACAAACATGGAAACATAAGAAAGAGGCTTAGATCCTGGAGTGGGCAACTGATGGCTGAAAAAGAGAGAGAGAGAACCAAACCTACAAGTGTAAAGCGTTGTCCAAAAAATACATGTGTAAAACTTTCATCACAAACAAGGTTATTTTGGGAGAAATACTACAAAATCTGGATATAGAACTTGAGTGTTACCAGATCTACGGACTAGAAACAATAGTGATGACAAAAAAAATGCAAACTAGTTGAAAGTCAGGTAGAAAGCACAAGAGCGAACTATGCTTGGTATCAGATTAAGAGATAGAGTTACAAATGAGGATATCCGACTATATAAATGGACGGCGGGGGTGACGTGCTGGCAACCAATAATAACAAAGCCCAGTACGGACTGACCCGCATGAAGGTGGATAGACGACATAAAGAGATTTGCGGAAAATAGATTGTTTAAGGTGGCCTAAGACAGAAACATGGAAAAATAAAAGAGAGGCTCTCGCCCAGGAGTGGATAACTGATGGCTGAAGAGAGAAAGAGACCCAACCTACAAGTGCAAAGTGTTGTCCAAAAAATACCTATGTAAAACTTTTTCGCATTCAACTCATCACGAACAAGATCATTTTGGAAGAAATACTATAAAATCTGGAGATAGGACTCATGAGTGTAACCAGTGGCGACCTACGGACTAGAAAGCATGGTGATGACGAAAAAATGCAAATTAGTTGAAAGACATGCAGGAAGCACAAGATTGAGCTGTAAAACTTTCTTGCATTCAACCCATCACGGGCAAGGTCATTTTAAGAGAAATACCACAAAATCTGGATATAGGACTTGAGTGTTATCAAATCTACGGACTAGAAACAATGGTAATGACGAAAAAAATGTAAACCAGTTGAAAGACATGCTAGCATACGGGCTGACCCACATGAAGATGAATAGACGATATAAAGAGAATTGCGAAAAGTAGATTGTTTGAGGTGGCCTAAGACAAAGACACATGGAAACACAAAAAAGACGCTTTCGTCCAGGAGTGAACAACTGATGGCTGAACAGAGAGAGAGAGAGAGAGAGAGAGAAGAACCTAAACTACAAGTACAAAGCATCACTGACAAGGTCGTTTTGGGACAAATACTACAAAATCTGGATATAGGGCCCTTTAGTGTAACCAGTGGCGATCTATGGACTAAAAGCCATGGTGATGACGAAAAAAATGCAAACTAGTTGAAGGTCATGCAGAGAGCACAATAGCAAGCTATGCTTGGTATCAGCTTAAAAGATAGAATCAGTAATGAGGATATCCGACCACGCTAGACGTGCTGGCTTGTAACTTGTCATACGTTTGTAATTAGCAATAATGGATGATATAACTATCTTAAGAATATCTTATATGATATAGAACATAATAGCAATATAAATGACCGAAGTTTCGCGGGAAGGTAAACCTTTTAAAATAATCACGGTCAAAAAATGTATATTGGAAATCCCAAGAACCAGATAACTTCACGCCCGCAGAAGAAAAATTGATATGTTCTTATCGTTGACAATGATTTTGTCAAAAGTCTGGGCCACGTCAAGAAAGAATGTAGATTTTTCCTCCGGGCTATTCCTATGATAGTTACTTGTTATTCAACGTATTTGGTCGCCGGTGGAATGCTTCTTCCTAAATTCAAACTGATGTGTTAGTATAATCGCCTCTATAATAAGTTTTAAATTGTTAGTAATGAAGAGATGGATCTATATGATGTAACATCTTGAGGTGGTTAGCCAGGTTTTTGTATTATAATCATTTTCGCTACTTTCCAGCTATTGGGTGGGTTGAATAAAACAGTAGTAAATGCTAATGCTACAATACTGAAGTAAATTCTTCAAGTAAATTCTATGATTGTCAAGCAGATTCTATTAATAGTTAATTTATCGGTAGTTTGTTGCGTGGAAAGTCGAAGTTTTTACTACGAAGGGAAGTAGAGGGAACTGTATTTCAACGATTGCGTCACTTTTAGCGAAGCTTATGAAAGGCCAGCTTCGTTAATCTTGCTACTATGCTATTTATCATTTTATTCCTTAATAATTAAATATATTAAGGAGAACCAGGATTTTAAATAGGTGTTGACATGGATTTAGTGATTCACCATCAACAGTATCCAAAATTGTCAAAAAAGTTTCCAATCACATTTGTAATAAAAGATGTGCTTGGATAAAATATCCTGCTACTCGTAAAAAATTAAACAAAGCTGCTGAAGAATGGGCTGCTAACAGTCATATACCCAATGTTATTGGAGCAATTGACTGCACCCATATAAAGATTTTAAAACCAGTAACTCACGGAGATGAATATGTTAACCGGAAAGGAGTGTGTAGTATTAATGTTCAAGCAACATGTAATGCGAAAGAGATGTGCTAATCCGATGACAAACGTTGAGCTACGATACAATTAATCATCAAGAAGAACGATCCAGAACTGAACGTTGTTTTGGATAATTAAAGAGAAGATTCCCTATGGTACATTATACAATAAGATTGAAAACTGATCGAGTTTCTCGATATATACTAAGTGCATTTATATATACTATATAAATAAGTTAACCTATACAAAACAAATGAGTAAATGTTGGTGAGACGTGAACTAACACGTTGTTGCACTTTTTAGGTGCGTACTACTCTTTAAAAGTATTTACTTCCTACTAGTAGTATTTACTTTCAATCGCATAGTTCGTCCTACATATGTGAGTAAATTCTACCGGAACTAAAGGCGTACTACATCCGAAAGTATTTGCTATGCAGTAAATTCTTTTTCCTCAAGCATTAGCATGTACTACTTTTTTTATTCAACCGACCCATTTAGGTTCGTAGAAATACTACAATTATACATTACAGATAGATTCTTTCGAATAAAACAGGAAAGGCCCATTTTGAGTTCAAGGTTGGAGTGCCTGTAATAAACCTTAATTGAAAAATAATACAATAGCCACATTTGCAGACGACTCGGCCATATTGGGAGTTATAAACAATAATGAGGAATGTACCGGAAAATTACAACCTGCTGCTCAACAATCAATGGTCAATATCCTATTCAAATCAATCCAAGCATTTAGGCATAACTTTAGACGCGAAAAGAGAGTGTTTCTGTATATATTATTAGCCAATTTAAAGCTATAGGATGCTTCTGTGAATGGAAATGACTGGGGCGTCGTCTAATTGATGAGGTTCACAAAAATATCGCTCCGCAAAGCAATCATTTGGAATATTTTATGGAAAGAAAAGCCTTTGCGCCCATTGATAAAATGAGTCGCAAGCGACCTTGGCTTAATCAGAAGAAACAATGGATTTAAGAAACACCTTTGGAATCAAAGAACCAGCCCGAGGCCAAATCCGAACAATATATATCAACGCCTTGGCAATAAGCGGCCTTGGTTTAATCGGAAAATACAATGGATTCAACGAACCAAGCCGAGGTCGCTTGCGGCTAAGGCGCTTCATTGTGTTCCCATCAGTTCGCTTCATTATGTTTTCATCACCATGAGAATCAAAGACCCAAGCAATTAAATCGCAGCAACCCAAATCAGACTATATATATCAGCGCCTCCTCCTGATCGACAGAAACAATGGATTCAAGAAACTAAACCGAGAACACTTGCGGCAAAGGTACTCCAATGTGTAGCTTAACTGGAATTGGCGTGAAGTATGGTACCTCTGTAACACCTTATAAAAAAAAGATAAATTTTGTGAAATGTTAAATAACACAGCTACAATAACATCAAGAAATTGCTCTAATCCTTTATAATCACGCTGTATATAAAAACCTACATATTCAACCTACTAATCAATCGTATAATAGATGCCATCAGACCCAAAGTAGAATTGACGAGATAGATGTTAACATATTTTGCTATGCCGACGATGCCGTTTTGATTATAAATAATGAAGATGACCTGCAAGGACATGTATTACTTCAACATACCAGCTAAGCAATACTATATGAAAATATCAACGGAGAAAACAAAATGTATGGTAATATCCAAAGAACCAAGACGCTGCAAACAACAAGTTGAAGACTCTATAATAGAACAAGTTATGCATGTTAAATATCTAGGTGTAGAAATTACAAGCTATCGAGATCTATGCGAGGAAGCACAAGCACAAATTACAAGTGACAGGCTCTCTAAGGGACACTATCTCAGGAGGAAAGAGTAGAAGGAAAAATGAAAATATAAAAAGCCATGGTACGACCCATACTAACATATGGTACTGAGACGACAGCAGAAAGAAAGACTAAACAGAGGATGAGAGTGATGGAGATGAAAGACTTGAGATCTATGTTGAATGTGACACTGCGAGATAGGCAGACCAACACCTCTATCAGAGAAAGATGTAACATACAGGATATAGTAAAATAGACAAAAGTAAAAAAGAAAAGGTGGAAGGAGTATGTGAAAAGAATGGATGAGAAGAGATTGGCCAGAATATGCATGTATGGACAACTGAAAGGAAAAAGACCACAAAGACGAGCGCCCAATAGATGGGCACAGAACTAGTTCTCCTCGTCTGCGGAGTAAAGTCCAAAAATCAGGCTTGAAAAACAGGGATGCATCCCTAGTCGAAAGTAGTAGAAGAAGAAGGTATGGAGATTTAGAAATTACGAAAAAAATAACCCAAGGAATTGATTTTTATTATTGCAATAATATAAAAATATTTCCAGTTACAAACAATAATCTCATTAAACTTAACGAAACTTAAGCCAATGTCATAAAATTTCACCATACAGCGTCTCCTTTAGCTGAGGAAAACACATATTCCTCACCATTTAAGCACATTATCCCATTAGAAAAATTAAATCGCCACCGATTCTTCGTATGATCAACAAAAGAATATTGGCACAAAATTAAATTTTCAGTATAAAAAGGATCTTCATTTTCATCGTCGTCGGTGTAATCATCCTCTGAATTTAAGCTTTCTTCGCTGTTGATATCTTCTTTAGTATCTTCAATAGTATCGCTTGATTCGTCTAAAGAATCATCACTATCATCGGTTTCATCCAAATCGTCTGATTTTTGTGGAATAATAACTTTCTTTTCAACTATATCTATTGGTTTCGGCGATAAAACATTTTTCGCAAAGTTGGATTGAACCACTTTTGAGGTTATATTCGGTGGTAAACATTTTAACGCGTCCATCGTGGTTTCATCGAGTTCTGGTTTATTCGTATCTTCTAAATCGCTTTCTTTTGCATTTGGCGAACTCATTTCGCCCTGGTTCCGATTGCGGTGATGATTTTCGATTTTATTAATCCATAACATTTTCAATTGACGTAACATATCTTCATCATAACCTTCCTCCATAAAAGCATCACTTACGTTTTCAATTACATGCTCGATAGTGTTACGGTAAAATGAGTTAGTTGCTGGAAAACAGTTTAAAATGATGTTCTCCATAATTTCGCAGTAACTTAAGCAGAGGCTCAGAAAGAACTAAACAAATCTAAATCTAAACTCTAACCTGTCATGTAATTGACGTTTAAATAAAGTTTTAAGATATACCATAGATGGCGTTTTATTATTGATAGATTTGATAATAAATAAATTCTAAATAATTTAAGTTAAGGATTAATGTCAAAATGAATGATGTCGCTAATCTGTTGACAGATTGCTGTAAAGGATATAGAAAATGTAATAAATCCGATTACGTTCATTTACCATGTTTCGTAATATTTGTGGTTCGATTGAATGCGCGAGAAAGAGACGGGAAGTGAACGTCATATTCGAGATTCGAGCGAATTATTATGTGTCATTGTTATTAATGTTGGGTTGGGGCGGAATGCCAATAAACCACAATAACCTAGCCGTAAAACGGGATTAGATCGCGATGTATGAAAGCTAATGTATTAGATCGATTCGATCAGAGTGTGAATAATTTATGGTTTGTTATGGTAATTTTTTCGAAATGAACATAGCCATTTAAGTAGGAATTTAATTATTTTAATGTTAACAACCCTCCAATTAGTTGCCATGGAGATCAACATTTAAGTTTAAAAAACGAGAATTTTCTTAAGGTGATTTTCAAAAAATAATATATCTCATGAACTATTTGAGATATTGAAAAATGACATCATTAAATTTATTATTCAATTCTATAATAATAACAATTTTATTGCCGCAATAACATTAAAATTATGTAAATATACAGTGTGTCCCAGGGTAGATGTTACAAGAGGTACAATGACTTAAAATGTTTTAAATTTTATTTTAAGGATGGGGAATTAAGCTCTGCTTGGTGTGAAAATAATTTGAAGAATATTTTCATATTTTGTAAGCTAAGTCGGCCTTGACAGTGAAACAAAACCTATTTTTAGTTCAGGTAAAGTAACCTTTTTTTGGTCATGATACGGAAAATTTTTTTTAAGAAAAGTTGTTCATAATCAGAAGTTATGGTGCTATGCCGCGTTCCTTACATACATACTTATACTGAATATAGGGTAAGTATACCTTGCTCTTTAAAATGTTGTTTGCAACTTTGATTGGATTTAAGGTTGCATAGCTCCCTCAGTGCCTTTTTTTGAAGAAGGAAAACTCTTTCTGCTGCTGATGATGCTCCCCAGAATAGTATTCCGAAAGTAGCAATGCTG